GAACTCTAGCGCCTGTCATGGTATCTCTAACCCATGGGTTGATTCAGGCTTCTCGGATGCCACAATTACTCCTAATAAGAGTTGTCCCCACCATCAGTAGTTTAGGCCTAGCCAAAGCTCAGGCCCAGCTAAGCGCATTCCGATCTTAACCAGAAAACATCGGGCCTCTTGCAGCCTGCCTCCCACTCGGACTTCCCCCTAAATCTGCCTTCAACGGAACCTGGACCACAGCGCGCCCCTCCCCCGCACACGCTCGCCCAGGGCTCCACAAGCTCTGGAGTCCAGAGATCCGCGCTTAGAGGCGCGGCCTGGTTCGCGTCTATCTTTTCCAGACAGCCCTTAGGCCAATCGGGTCCTCGCGTGGAGGCAGCCCCAATGCCCTCGCGCAGACTCTTGGAGGGCAGGGTCTCCAGCAGCTGTACTTCCCACACGCAGCTGCAGCTCTTCGGAGCGCTGTAGCTCCAGGCTGCCTAGTGCCCAAGCCGCGGACTTGCTTTGGAAGCTCCAACCCTGGAGAGCCAAGTCCCCTCCCGCTGAAGGGAGGGTCAGCTTCGTTTTCTCGCAGGTCCCTCTCATTCCTGTCCCCCAGTCAGAATCCGATTCTTGCCCTTACCGTGTCGCAGCCACAAGTTTTGCCCCTCGCACAAAAATATGCTCTTTCATTTGCGCACTGAATAAACAGCCATATCACACGAGGCTCTGCGCCGTTCTTCTGAAAGCAATTTCACTGCTGAAAACTGGAAAATGGGTGTAATTTGGGTTCAGAAAGTGTTGTTCGGGTCACGGCAATTTCTCGGGCCATTATTTATTTTTACTTTAAAGTCTTTAGGGAAGATTTGCTCATATACTCTGGAACCTTCCAATGCGAGAATACCAGCAATCCCGCTCGCGCGCCTTCAACTCGGGAGGGGGAGGGAGGAGGTGGAGAACAATTACGGAGTGACGCTAATATGGGGAAACTGAAAAGAAATGTCGATTGTTTTTATTGTAATAGAAGGAGTGAGCAAACAGAAAAGCCAACCCCGGGTGATCGGGGAAACAGGCCGACGAGAATTAAAAGAGGGTTTCAGGCCACCACAGGCCCCTCCCCTGCCCTAGGCAGGAGAAAGCTGGCGTGGAGCGCTCGCGGTCCGCGGGGCAGATCCCACAGCCCGCCGCCCTCAGGACTGGCCATTCTGGACCCGGGGAAAGGCTCAGGAATCGCGAGGCTTGTTGGTGAAAAGACTGAGGCTGCGGGGCGGCTCTCCGAGCATCTTCAGGCTGCGCCTGGACCCTGTTCCTACTCCTTGGGCTGGTACTTCCGCAACCACACCGAGTGCCGGCAGGCAGGTCAGTGTACGGGCGACCCCGCGATTCCCCAGCCCCACTCCGGCCTGGCCGAGGCCGAAGACTCGGGTGGGCTGTCTCTCCTTCCCCAGCTCCCCGTGGTGGTTCACTTTAGCTTCTGTCCGTCTGGGGCTCCGGAGCTGCTCAAATGGGCAAGCAGTCTAGGGTGGACATGTCCTGGCCGTGGGCGTGGGGCGCGCTTCTGGCTGCCGCTTGCCGCCAGATTGACCGGAGGCACCGTGGGAGGAGGAACCTCTGCTGACACCCCTAAGGCCCAGGTCAAGAGACGCCGGCCCTCCGTGCAGTCCACTCACTCTGCAGCGGCATTTCTGCAGGGGAACAGTGTCGGTCTTCCTTTGCCTACCATTTCCCCTTGATTGATTGGAAGAAGTCACTGTACTCTGAAAATCGCTGTCCTGGAACTCAGTGTCTGGCTGCTTCCCGAGCCTCCAAACTCACACAGTGGGAGAGAAGCAGGCACGGTTTCCTAGGCCTAGTACAGGGTCCAGTCTGTCCCCAGTAGGGGAGCAAGATGGAGGAATCGCCTCCTAAATCTGCAACTGAGAATAGGACACACACACACCTTCCCCTTGCATCTGTGGTCTTCACTGACCTGCACTCCTCGAGAAACCGGTTGGGGACCCCGCAAGTCTCCCCATGTCCTGCAAGGTCTACAGCTCCCAGTTCCTCCCTCGGTAGCCCTGGGGTGCCCTGGGGGGGCACTGAGGGCGGCCTTGGAAGGAGCGAGATTCCAGTACCTTCTTTGCACCTCTCGGTAGACCCTGCTAAGTCTGAGAGGGGAGCACCACAGGTGGCGGCCCCTTGACACTGGCACCGCTGACAGATTTATGGAGACTTTACAGCATCTGGTCTAGGCGTGCTGGGCCAGGCTGAATCCATCAGAGGAGAAACGCTGTGGGTTAATGCTCCCTCAGCCTTGCGCCACCACCCAGCCGCCCCGTGGAGTCCTGAGCTCCGCACTCCGTACACCCTGTGTCCGGCCAGTGGCAAGTGTGTGGATTTGCTATAGTCTCCTCCCTCACACTGTGGCCCAGCTGGCTTCCAGTCTCCCACTGAGTAAATATTTACCCAGAGAAGGGGTCACCCCTTGTAGGAGGCCCTGATAGCTCTTAGGGAAAGGCTTTTGGCTTCTCCCTGGCCTGAGCCAGCCACAGACCTTACTGGTTGTGTTTTTATTTTGGTCTTAAATTTCTCTTTTCAGTCGAAATTCTTCCGATCCCTGTGTGATCTCCTGGATCTACAGTGGTGCTGACCCCTTGTGACTTTTGCTGTGAAGTCTTGCATCCTTGCCCTAATGGGGCTCATTAGACCTTATTCTCCGTCTCTGTGTTCCCACTAGGATCTGTGGTCCCTGGCTTATGCTCTGGAGTCACTGTCGGCTGCTGCCCTACACTTAATGTGCGAGGGGAGAGTTCAGTGCCAGCCTTTCCCGCTGAGATTCCCAAGGTTCTGGCCTGCTTCTGTCACTTGGCTTCTGTTGTTGCCAGAGCGTGGGCTTCCGTTGCCTCAGGTGCTTAATGGTCCAGAATGCCTAAGATTGATTCTTGCCATACTCTGAAGAATACACTCACAACAGCTACTTTGAGGCGGCGATGGGATGCAGCCTAGCTTGCCCAAGAAAGTTAAGGCTTCTCGTGGCCACAGCCAAGTCCAGCAGGTGGAAGGGGAGAGATGGCAAAGGACCCGCGTGAGAGCGAGAGAGATGTGTGGCAGCTGAAGAACCTGGAGGCAACAAGAGGATGTCGTGTGTCAGCCTGAACGCTGAACCTTACGGGGTTCTGGAGATCTAAGGAAACCGGGTCTTGCCAACACTTAGGCTGAATGACCTTGTCTGCACCCAGGTAGCAGTCACCCCGAAGTGTGCAAACTGCTCACTGGGGCAAAGAGCTCAGAGGTCTTCAGGGGCAGGAGGGGGTTCTGATCAAATTGCAGAGTTTGTTCAGTCTTTTGGGCATGCCTCAGGCAAAGCCCTAAACTCCTTTCAGATATTACAGTCTTAATTCATTTATGCTTTCTAACCTTAAGCAGCAACTACTGCCTTCCAAGGTCTTGGATTCCTGAGGACCCTTTATCACTGGAAAGTGCTAGGCCGTGCCACACAACAGGTTGTAAAGGTCAAACCAGGGCAAAATTGCTTTCAAGTCAAACTTCGAGAAAATCTTAGATACTTGAAACCAATCAATCAACAAACAAAAAAGGGATAAATTCAAACATTTCTAGTCATGAAACTTTTTAGAACATCCAGACAGTAAAGAGTCAAAGGTGACTGCATTGAAAATATCCTTCATAATCTAAATTTGAATTCAAGCTGCATCTCTGCTATAGAAGCATGGGTAACTAAATAGCAATGTTCATTTAAAGAAGTCCAACAGACTGTGAGTCTTTCCTGTGTCCTTGTCACTTTCTGCATAGTGATCTGGGCCCAGTCAGCTTCTTCAAATGTGGACCTGAGCCACGCACAGTCCCTCAGGACTGAGGGAAGCTAAACCCCAATCCTGAATCCGAAAGGAGGAAGTAGCAATATAGCTGTCCCTCCTCAGAAGTACTGCAAGCTCCCAAATCCATTAAAAAGTTCCACATCTTATTCATTATTTTGTTTACATTCTTCACAATCCTTATTTCACTTACAAATAAATTTTGCCACCCAAAGCATACTGTCCACTATAGATCAGACTTATGGTGAACGAAAATGAAAATTCAGAAGTAGGCAGAACCTCAGAGCCTCTGGTAGCTAAACAGAAGTCTCAAGAGTTACATACATGCCCGGCCTTGGTGTCCTCCTCTTTTTCATATTTAAACAAAATCCCTTTGCGATGGCTCACTGGTGTGGAGAACGCCGGTAAACTCTGGCAGCAAGGACCCATAGTTCTGCCTGGTGGCCGAGTGTCGCAGAGGGCTGGGCAGTGCAGAGGGCGCCTCTCTCACTGTCAGTCATGCCCCCCACCATCGCAACTTCAGCCCCGGGTGGGTACCTGTGTCCCCCCACTCCCACCCCTCACAGGATGCGGATCCTTCCTGGACCTTGCGTAGCTAGGGTTGGTCCTACGCTCCAGGACTGTCCATGGCGGTCCGCGCGAAGCCCGCCACAGAATGGACCTCCATGAGCCTCAGTAGGGATGTTTATGGCCTTAACATCTCTGACTTTGCCTCCCCTCGACCTCCTGGTTGCTTGACTGTCCCACCTCCCCACACCTGCGCTCTCAGCACCTGGAGTAGACTGAAGAGTTACCCAAGGTCCCCTCCCTAAGCCTCCCAAAGGCCCACAGGGTGAGTTGGTATTCTAAGATACCCCAACCTGTGTAAACGGCGGAGCCTTCCTCCAGAATCTTAACTTCACTTCTTAGAGGTTCATAGTTCTCCAAAAGAGGTCTCCCTCTGTCCCTATCCCCTTCAAGTCACTCATATTCAGTCCAAACGCTTTCATTTGCTTATTCAGCATTTTTACCAGGCTGATTTTGCTGTTTGTGTCAGCCCTGGGAAGACGTCAAACACCCATTTTCTTTGTATTTAGTCACCCAGGTGCGGAGCCAGCCTGAAAAAGACAGCGGAAGGAGTCTCCCGGACTGCTCTGTCGCTCACCGGCACTCACCAATCACCGCGCAGCTTGCCCTCGGGCCCGCCTCTTTGGGGGTGTGTCCCTGGTGACTGATAGACGGAGCCGCCCGGCCCTGCTCAGCCCAGCCCACGTTGCTACTGAGATTGAAATGCAGAACTCAAGCCTCTTTCATCGGGGCTCAGACTTCCTTTTACTCCTTCCTTTTGCACTCGTGCCGCCTCCCCCGGGGAGAAGCCGAGACACCGGCTGCCCGAAGCAGAGACAAGCCGGGCCACTGAGGCCGGGAGAAAAGTTTCTTTCTGGGAGTGCGGAACTGGGGCCGGGTTGGTGTGCTGCTCGGAGCAATGGGTGAGTGGCGGCGGGGGCCGCTGTCAGAGCCGCGGAGGGAGGGAGGGAGCGGGCGGGCGGGCGAAGGAGGGAGGGAGCGCGAGGGCGCGCTCCAAGGAGCGCACAGGGCTGGGTATTGACTTTGCTCATGTTCCTACAAGTTGTAGGAGCAGGCTAAGGGTCAGCGGCGCGCAGCAGTTCAGTCTGAACGCCGGCTACTGGGTTGCTGTTGATGCCATTTTCTAATTTGGGGAAAAAGGAGCCGTGGCATCAGCGAGCCCCGAGGCTCCAGGGGCGATCCCAATTTTGTTTCACACAAGCAAATAAACAGAAAAGCCCTCCAGTCTAACCGCGCGTCTCGGGGAGCAGCGATCGATACCAGGTGGTGGTGGAGAGGAGAGGCCCGAGAACTTCAGTGCCGGGCGGGCTAGGCGGGGCGCGCTCAGGCGTCCAGACCGATTTCTCCGCCTGCTTCGGAGAATCGTGAATGTCAGAGCAGTTGGCCTCTCACCGCTTCACTCACGTTCGTAGCGGCCGCCCCCACCGCAGGAATGAGGAAGGGGGTCCGACCTGACCGCAACTTCTTTGGGGCTGTTCGGCAAAGTTCAGGACCTTAGGGTTGGAGGACAGCCCCAGCTGTGATTCAGGGGCGTGTTCGTTAGCCCGGCCCTTGGACGCAGACCGAGGCCGAGTGGCGGGCAGCTGTCCCAAGCTGCGGGTGCGCGTCCCTGCGCGCTGTGTGTTCCTTTTACAGAGCCAGCCTTTGGGGAGGTGAACCAGCTGGGAGGAGTGTTCGTGAACGGAAGGCCGCTGCCCAACGCCATCCGGCTTCGCATCGTGGAACTGGCCCAACTGGGCATCCGACCGTGTGACATCAGCCGCCAGCTCCGGGTCTCGCACGGCTGCGTCAGCAAGATCTTGGCGCGGTACAATGAGACAGGCTCGATCTTGCCAGGTGCCATCGGGGGCAGTAAGCCCCGGGTCACCACCCCCACCGTGGTGAAGCACATCCGGACCTACAAGCAGAGGGACCCGGGCATCTTCGCCTGGGAGATCCGCGACCGCCTGCTGGCCGACGGCGTGTGTGACAAGTACAACGTGCCCTCGGTGAGCTCCATCAGCCGCATTCTGCGCAACAAGATCGGCAATTTGGCCCAGCAAAGCCATTACGATTCGTACAAGCAGCACCAGCCGGCGCCACAGCCTGCGCTGCCCTACAACCACATCTACTCCTACCCTAGTCCCATCACGGCGGCGGCAGCCAAGGTGCCCACTCCTCCCGGAGTGCCTGCCATCCCTGGCTCGGTGGCCATGCCACGCACCTGGCCTTCCTCGCACTCTGTCACCGACATTCTGGGCATCCGCTCCATCACCGACCAAGGTAAGGGCCCCCGAGACCCGGAGTGAGGATGTGCAGACTCCCGGGGGAATACCATTATCTGCGGCGTCCCGGCCCGCGTGGATGCCACCACCTGAGGCCTTTTTCTTTGGAGTCTTAAGGAGTCTTCCCAGGGGGTGTCCTGATCTCATTAACTTGAAACTCTTGCCCCCGGTTTCCTTGCCACACACAGTCTCTCCTGCCTCATCTCAAACTACCAGACCCATAACATCCCCCATCCCCAACACATGGTTCGCATTTTCCACCCTCCCCCGCCTCTCGCGCCGCGGCAGCCTTCCCCGGGCTTGCTCACAGCAGCGACTACCCAGCCAACTAGGGCGCAGCCCGGGAGGGCCCAGCCGGCCTGGGGCTGTCGGCTGCAGATGCCGCTGTGGGCAGCTTGCTCGCGATCAGATGCAGCAGTCAGGAGCGCCTTACGATGTGGAAACTGTAGTATTCTCAGATTCTGGCAATCAGGCCAAATTTGCTCAGGCAGGAAGTTCAAATGTCACCTAATTGGTTTCATTCTTATGCCTCACTTCATTTTCCTCGGAAACTGAGGTCCTGGTTACTAGGAACTTGCTTGTATTTTCTCCTTTTCTCCCTCTCTCTCTCCCTCTCTCTCCTCCCTCTCCTTCCCTACCCACCTTCTCTCTCTCTCTCTCTCTCTCTCTCTCTCCCTCCCTCTCTCCCTCCTTTCCTCCCCCCTCTCTCTCCTCTTCTCCTCTCTCCCTCCTTTCCTTCCCTCCTTTCTTCCTTCTCCTCCTCTCCCTCTGTCTACTCTGAACAAACATGACTGCCACAGGGATGACTGATACCAAATGCAGGGTAAAGATTCCAAGCAGTCCTTTTTACTGTTCTCCCTTATTTTTCCTGAGCCCACCACTGGATGTGTATCTAGCTATTTCACTTAAAAAAAATTGTATCATTCTCCCCATTTAGGTCCTTTCCTTTCTTACCCCTGACTTTGCCATTTCCTAAGCATCTTTCCTGCAGTGTCAGAAGGATTCCCAGAGCCCTCCAGTCCAAGCTGGCTTCTGCGAGAGACCTGAGTTTGTTTTCTTTTACTGCACTGTTAAAAAATAAAACGGCGTTAACTTCTTTTCTTGGTAGGGTGAAAAGAATCAAAGTATGCTAGACACAGAGATTAGAGAGCCTACCTTCTTAATTTCTCAGTACAAAGTTAAAAACTGGAGGAGAAAAATAGACAAAGGGCAAATGGTTTCTTTAATTATTTCCTGCTTTTTGGAGTTGCCACCACACTGGCACAATTATGTTTTTAAGTAATTAAAACAGAGCCTTGATTTCTCATATTCTTGTTTTCTGCCTGTGAATTTACAAGAGCCCAGTTTTGTCTTATTTGGAGCTCCTCAGAGCTTTGGTTAGAGAGAGTTTACCCTTGATTTATAGGATAAACTGACCTCACTGACATTTAAAGGAAGCCCCTGTTCTTGGGAAAGTGTGAGATCAGCAGAAATGGGACTCACAGGGGGATCTCAATTTCTTAACATAACTTCAAGGCTTGTGCCCACCGACTGCCTTTTGTCTGGGAAGGCAAAGAGAGTGAGGCAGTACTGGACCAAAACAGTTTCCTGGTGTTAAAAATAAGAGCACAGTCAATTTCTTTTGGGGGGTATGGTTAAAAAAAGAGGCTGACAGGGATGACAAGAAAAGTTTTCCTTAAGGATCCTGCAGTCAGACCAAGTGTCAGTTGGCAAAGCATTGGATTATGGAGAAGATCAACTCTTCATTGTTGCTCTTGTCGATGATTCTGGGTGCCATCTTTAAATAGCCTGGTTTCTGACAAATCTGTGAATAGAAAACAATGATTTGTACAGAATGAACATCCCTTCTAAACCTTTTATCAGATGGAAGTGTTTAAAACCAAGTCATGGTGTTTTGTCAAATGAGGTTCTTCTGCCCATAGGCTCTAGAGACAATAATATATTCCTTCTAGTCTTCAAATATTTCCTTTTTTAAAATTACACTTGGTCACTAAAGAAGCCAGCAATTTGATATGCACAACCCTAGGTGTCATGGTAATCATCCTATACAGTACTGTGCTATGTAATTTTCCTTACATCTCCATCAAGAACGGAAAAGGTAACTGTTCTCTTTTTCTTAGCATTTAATTCTACTTTCATTTTCTTAACATTTTATTTCATTTTCTCTTTCTTGGACTTAAAAAAAACCTATCTTCATATGGCCTACCATTGACACTCACAGTATTTACAAAGATTTACTTGTTGGTCACATACACATAGCCTCACATATTTAATGTGTAGAGGCAGAGCTTGCAAGGTAGACCCAGGCACACACAAAGTGGAAATCCATGCATGTATATTTTGCATGTGTATTGTGTGTATCATTTAGTTATTTGTTTGAGGTCTTTTGTTCCATCTGTTGACATAAGTGCCAAATCCCCATGCAGCAGTGAGCACTTCTCTGGATTTCTCTGAGCACCAGCCAAGGCACCCTTAGGTCCTGACACTACATTTTCAGCCTGCCCCAGTCCCAGATCTTTTTCACCTTCTCTCCAGTCAGCCCAAAGTTGAGACTGGGGAAGTGGAGAACAGGACATCTAACCTCACGGGTTCTTTCTTTGATTTGGGAAAATTATCAGTTTCTTCCACTCATTTCCCTGGGGAGACCAAAGACGGGAAAAGGGAAATGAAAAAGCTCATTGAAAAAGAAAAGAAGAAGAAAAACAAAAACAAAAACAAAAAAAAAACACTTCTTGCAGATTTGCGTGAAACAAGTAAGAGGGGCCTACTCTACTCACAGGAGAGTAGAACATCCCCAGA